TGTAGAAGCGGTCACCCCGGACCAGCGTATTAGCATCTGCTAATATTGTCGCTGAAATAGTGAAGTTCGGGCATAGTCCAGAGCCGGGAAAGCATGGCTTCTTGGCTTCCTCAGCCTGTATACCGACGTAAAGCTCGATATCATCCGGATGTCCGTAGAGTGCCTCTACTATAGCCTACTTAGTGCTGGTTAAATACAATACTCAGCTACGCTACTTACACGCCTCCCAGACGGCAGGATCGGGGTTGACCTCCTCTATAAGTTTCATTAGCAAGAAGATTACCAAAAGGATTTAATGTGTCTTACCGAACGTTGAATACGTTTTCAACTTGAAGAAATGTCGAAATTCGTTCAGGGTGGCTAATCCCCACTCCCGGCCTTGCTGGATGCCAAGCATCTCTATAGCCTTCATCGCCTCCGGGATATTGTTGGCACCGAATGCACCTGCCGAACAGTTAGTGGTCGAGGCTTGCACGTGTGAAAGGGGAAATAACGCACCCGCGACACACTCGGTCCCAGTCTGCAAAATATTCACGAGATCTGCGTCCCTGAAGCTACCGTCCTGTTGACGTTGCAGGCCATTAAACGTCCACCGAGCGGGATCTGTGTCAATACCCTCAAACCACCTGCGCAGGCCACCAACGAATTCATCAACGGACAAAGTACCTAAAGCCATTTCACCACCGCATGTTCAGAGAGATATCATTAGATTGTGCTATGGGCAGCTGCATACCTGGATTCACTTCTGCGCCAAACACGCTTTTCATGAACTCATGTGCCCAGGCTTCATCCTGGTTGCTGATGGCAGCATGCCATCTGTAAATCATGTTGAACTCCGCACTAACTTGGTTTCCTGTGCCCCTAGGGACGGTCGGTGAGTTCAAAGCACTGATTTCCGTCCGTGGGTCGAGTTTCCAGTCCGAGTCTACCGGGTTGGTGTTCAGGTTCAATATAGTCCTCAGATAATCGCCCAGTATAATATTCACATATAGACCACAGGTGACCCTACGAGTAGTCAGCTATGAGCACATTTCCTACCCTGCAGCGAAAAGGCCTCGCTTACAGTCGTCCGGTTTGGAATAGATCATTATCCCGCTTTGCTTGCGCTTGGCCATATTTGGGACTATCTGGTGTCACTCCGGCTGGTAGGCTAAATCGGCCTCCTTCATTGATCAGGGCTAGCTCCTTGACGATGTAGTTGTGGAATCGATTGAATGCAATGATCAAGGCGCATACTCCGGGAGGCTGGCCGAGGAGCCTTTGTTCCGCGAATGTGTCAGGTTTTAGAAGCCCATCCTGAAATGATCGCACTTGGTTTTGCTGATCCTCATTGTGGCCGTAGAGAGGTCCCAAGTCGAGGTAGGACGAATTCTTCAGTTTTGTTATATCAGCATCATCTGTGCGGAAGAGATCTTGGAGAAAGGTTAGATCCACATGAAGTAAATATCGAATACTGTTTGATTTGACCGACCGTGAATGATGATCGTCGCAAAATGAAACAGAGTGCTCGATATTTTAGAAGGGTGTTCTTTGGCAGGTCCTTTGCGTGCGAGAATGGCTTGGTACAATTAGCGGATCCTATTCTTAGCGCTAGGATACAAGGAAACACACTGTCAAAGATTAGGGAGGGATCTGGTAGCACATATGGCCGTGGGTGTTGAGCGGTCACACTCCGAACATAATGGCTCCCCGCTGCTCCCAGCTGGGGATACAACGGATTCTACAAGAGTTAGAAATATCGTTGCAAGGGAGATTGTGGAGACATGTTACATTATTGCTGCCGTCTGCAGCACGGTACTTGTACTCATCTCCCAGTTGTGCTACAGGAGGATGGTCAAGGCTATTCCACAATGTCTTCACGAATTCTGCCGTGATGCCATCACGGAGCCTTGAACCATTCGGCAACGATGCAGCAACTTGAACGATCTCCTCGATCTAACCGCAGTTAGCGGGTGTTATTCATAGATGTAAGGACGGGCTCCGAGTTATCTCTCTTACGAGATATTGCCGATCGTCAATAATTCCACCCGAGAGAATCGTGGATCCCAAGCCCCGGAGGACTTGCAGATCCGGGAGGATACGCCCAACTTGACTGACAATGTCTTGGCGAGCTTCGCTGAGAAGCTTCAGCAAGCTATGGTGGCCATCAGAACCACCGTGGTCTGTTTCTCTTTTATCTGTCATGACTGAGAATGACCCTAAGATGCGGTGATGGTTATCCTGTGCTGTCCGATAAGCACAAATCGTACTGAGGGGAAACAAGGTGATATAATAAATTGTCCTCAACTGGGTTCAGTACGACAGCTACTCCTTCCCTACTGAAAGATGGTGTTCCATGGATAATGCCGTTCGTCATCTGAGGCAACCCATCAATAGTTCACTTCTGGGTCGCTCGTTCCAAGTAATAATTCGACCACATAACCATCTAGCCGTCATCTGACGTGATATTAGGCCGGAATATAAATTTATGTCATGAATAAGGGAATGGCAAATACGAGGAGCGAAAGGGGAGAACTAATTATTTCATCACGCAAACCACATAAATCTCAGCTGGAAACATTCATATGGGTCAACCAATCTTGGTTGAACCCTAAAACTTAGGGAACACCGCATCCGTCAGTCTCGCGACTTATGTACAGTCCAGAATTTAGGAGACCCATTGTACCAAGGCTAACACCAACCTTGTGATTGAGCATTATGGACTATTGTTCGTGAGATTTTTTCATGGTCCACCGGCATCCTGCAGGTATATGCTTACTAACATAACTAGTATCAAGGGCTAGATGGGCTTCCGCCATACACATCGAGCGCGGATGCGACCAAGTAGGGTACATTCAAGGTCAGCGGACTTTTATCTAGCAGGCAAGTTGTAATGATCGGAGAATATCCGCTATTATAGATCTACAGCGACCGTGCATTTGCCAAGGATCCTTTTTAAAAATAACACTTCTACTATAACCCTTCAGCCCTTGTCAGATACATCATCTACTTCACTGCCGGACAAGGGCACGGCTATTGGTGAGGTTCTAAAAAGGCGCATAAACCTAATATTGCTTCAGTCTATCTAATGCGCTTTTATTGATGGGGATTGCATATCCGTACCGCCAAGGCACATTGGGTAGTTTGCTCACCTCCTGCTTTAGTTATTCATAGTCTTTCTATAATACTAGACATAGGAGACACATAGCCAGTGGCAGCAGTAGTATTAATATTAAGATAGATACTGTATAATTATTATGTAAAAGCAATACAGGAATTGTCATTTATGGCTGCTATAGATCTATTCTAATGACTAGTTACCGTCTCTACCAGAGACTGGCGTCCCCTTGCAACCGGTAGATCTCCTGTTTGGTAATCGGTTCCCATAATAGTTCCTTTGCTGGGGACTCTAGTTCCTTCTCTTTAAGGTCTACCATTTTAAGGAAGAAGACTCCTAAAAATATCTCTACCTTTCTTTAGTTATCTATCACATCTTCGGTGTCCACTTTAAGGGTTGGCAGCCTGGTAGCGTAAGGCCTAGGGAAAAGAGGAAGCAGTCTACTCTAATCTCTGTTATTCCAAACCCTTTACTGTATCCACAATACGTGATAAAGCATGTTTATGACACAATTGTCAATGGGAACAGCTTAGTACTGTACTAAACTGTCATCGACGACCCGGGAAGAGCCCTGAATAGGAGCTGTATTCGGGTATAATGTAATCTTTGCCTCTCTCATTCTTTAACCTGACCTTTACTACCTTCCTCGCCATGTTTATCATCATCATATTGGTGACGATGATGATGATGATAATGACCAAGGCTCCAATCACTCGAATACAACCGATGTTTCCGTTTACCCCAGCCAACATCTATACTAAAATGTCCTGTATGTCCATGGAACGGCTGGTCGTTATCTTTTTTGCCATCCCGCACGCGGCTGACTATCTCCCAATCCGCATCACTATTATCATGTACATTCGCTTGCTCGGTGGCATTGGGATTGGTGTGGCTGTCATTTCTGGTAGAATCATCGGACCCACCCTGTGTACTGATGGATTTGTTACCTAATACTATCACGGATTAGCTGTGCATCTTGGAGGGCCATGTAGACGAGTCTTGGTTTATAATGAAAGTACCGTTTGAGGCTTCCTGCTTTGCCGGTCCTATCTGACCACCATATATCTTGACTTCTTGAGACTTGCTGTTCTGTTTTTGAAATGTAGACATGTTCGCTAGTACGGAGGGCCCAAGCGGAGAAAATTGTCTTCGGAGTTGAGATGCTCCTTGTGAGCTATACAGGTGGGCCAGAAATGAGCATACCTAGAGGTGAGGAGATGAGGGGGAAGGGGGAGAGTGAGTACGACTAGTCATGGAAAGAGAGTGACTATTTGGGGACATGACGTATGGTATATTCAGCTTGCCACAAAACATCCTGGAAGGTTTTATTAGAAGCCTCGGAGGATGTCGAGCTGAGTAAACGCTGAGAGGTATCAGATCAGGCCAAGAGTAATCCCTACGCTCCACAGGAGCCTTTTGGTTCGCGTACCATTTACTCTAAGTAATGATTGGACGTCCGTTCTGAGTTGTTGATGTGGTTTATGGTGGCTAGGAAGCAATGAACTATCGATTTCTATCATGCCAATAGGAACCTTGAAATATTACACTACTTTGCATACAAGCTTAATCATCAATCGTCCATCATCTTAGTCTTTCCACAGTATCATGCATAAAGGCGTAATGAACTTGGAGTGACCATGTCCTTTAAAGTAAGGGCGCAATGCGCATATGACTTGAGGTCATCCGTCATGTCGAATGTACCTCTCTTTCCGTTTCTGATCCAGGTTCACCCAAACTGTGTACGGTGTCGTGCACGGCACCTATCAGTATTTATCCTCACACAACATGTAACAAAGTCGCATCGATATCATCTACTGGAGGATGACACGCAGCACTGATTGCAGCACTGCAATTCACTAACAGGCACTAGTGTCACAACTTTCTACGGAAAAGAGCGTTTCACCTAGATGTCTGCCTGGCTAACTAACGCAGCCTCAAACAGCCCGATGAGCTGTGATAAAAGATGTGAGCAAATGGAAAGATAGACTAGTCTTCGTAAAGTTGGACTTACGTAGGAAGAATATTGGCTGTCTTTTCCAGCCTTGCGGAACACGTCGCGCTGTGCATCTAGCTGCTCTGGACAGCAATACAACATCTCCTCTAAGTCTGTGCTCGCCTTGAGGCCAGTGAGGAATTTCACCGCCTCGGGATCATCCCCTACCTGAGAAATGATAAATATGGCGCTCGCCGGTTCGAAGCCGAGTTCACCCAAACGCTTCTTGCAGTTCAAGACAGTTTCCTCGAGACAGGTTGTTTCTTCACCTAGTGGCTGACGCCCGACTCTGTTTAGTATAGACCCTCCAAATCCAGAGAAGATATAAGCAAACACTCACACATCCGTCAGTTACGATGACTGTGATTATTGGTCTTTCAAGCTGCCTTGACCTCGCCTTCTCGAAAATTAAAGGCTCGATAATCTTATTCTTGAGCACAGTCCCTAGTCGAGTTTTCCCAGAATACTTGACCGCCCGCATCTTACCCTGGATATCCTCTTGGTCGGTCAAATTGTCAAAATTTCGATCATTCTTATGGTTCAAGAAGCGAAGGTAGACTCCCTGTGGCTGAAGAAGACCGGCGATTTGAGCAACACGCTGGCAAGTATCTTCAAGCACCTTGATGCGGTCTCCCTTGTTCATCGAACCACTGTCATCTGGGTCAAACAGTCAAAAGAGGGCCTGTCTATGTCGACAAAAGAAGACATACCACATAGGATGACAAAGTCATACAAGGCCATGATGAGCAGTTTAGGGGTGACTTCTGGCTCCAACTCATATTCTTGTGTGAGATCCTTCGCCCGAGCAGCCGCACTCCGAATCAATTCCTCCACAAAAGCATCTCCCGGCTGGTAAAAAGGCCCAAGATTGGTTTCGATAAATCCCCAGGCATATTCCCGGTAGTCTTCTTCGGTCTCTGGAAACTTAGGGTGGGATACGGGGCGCGCGGGAGAATCTTCGGGCAGCAGGGCACTTAGGTGTAGCCTAAACTCCGAGAGGAATTGATCGACGATCTCATCGATAATATCATTGATGAACGTCTCCTTTTCGTTACTGTCATTGGAATAGTCCATGATTCATCGGACAAATGTCTGAAGGGTCACGTTTCAATTGATCCCGCACCTTGTGGCATTGCAAGGTGAGGATAATGCGATTACATCCTCTGCTTTTCATCTCAATCGCGCAGTTCGTTGTCCCCAAGGCCGACAGCACATTGCTGCGGTGTATGCTGTGTGGGAAGGAAAGTCTCTGATCGTGAAGGAGGTGTGAGACGCCCAATATCCGAATGGCGAGCCATTAATTGGTACCAACATGAGAATGAAATGATGAAGTCATGGTGAGGCTGACTGAATTGCTTCAGACCATGCCTCTTTATTGTTTAATATTGAGCCAAGACTTCCGATGGTAGGGTAGGGTTAGCCTCGTGACTGCGGGGGATGCTGCATATATGAATTATGCAAAGACACGTCAGCGCTTGGGAGCAATTTGTCATTCAGCGCAACATGTTACTACCCAAGAGAATGACATCAACCATGTAAACTGTCCAATAATGCCCAGTCCACGGTTAAGAAAAAAAA